CCCCCCCCCCCCCCCCCCCCCCCCCCCGGTGGAGTCTCCTGCCCCACAGGCCCCCTGGGTGTAGCCCGCGGGGCTGTAAGCGCCCAGCCGCAGCCACAGCAGCTCCTTTGTGAGTGTCACATGCTATGCTCACCAGCAGGGCCGCCCTTAGGCTTTATGGTGCCCCAGGCAGGATTATTAAACTGCTGCCCCACTGCCTGACTTGCTCTTCCACCCCTAGTCCCGCCCCTTCTCTTCCCAGAGACCCCAGCAGCCAGCCAATAGCCCGCGGGGCTGTAAGCGCCCAGCCGCAGCCACAGCAGCTCCTTTGTGAGTGTCACATGCTATGCTCACCAGCAGGGCCGCCCTTAGGCTTTATGGTGCCCCAGGCAGGATTATTAAACTGCTGCCCCACTGCCTGACTTGCTCTTCCACCCCTAGTCCCGCCCCTTCTCTTCCCAGAGACCCCAGCAGCCAGCCAATCTCCTCCCTCAGAGTGTGCATGCGGCTCTCTCTAGGACCCAGCCCTGCTGTTACATGTGCAACCCTGCCACGTGTAGGCCTGGCAGCAATCCAGGCCACGTTCAATAGCTGGGCTATGTCTATGCTGGTGGGTTATTGCACAAAAATGGCTGTTCTTCTGGAAAGCGTCCACACTCTCTTGCACAAGAAGATGTACAGGCTGGCATGGTGAGAGAAGGCTTCTTGCACAATAGCTGTGCTCCTTTTTAACAGGTGGAAGCCCTCTTGCACAGGGGCTCTTGCGGAAGAGGGCAGTGTGGATGCTCATCAGATCTTTCTTGCACAAGAGAGCATACACACGGCCATGGATGCTCTTGCACAAAAGCATAGCTCGCACATGACAGTGTGGACATTTTCTTGCGCAAGAGTTCTTGCATGAGAACCCTTGCACAAGATGTTCTTGCGCAAGAACTGCCAGTGTAGACATAGGCTAGGGTCCATCTCATACAGAACTGGCTTGAGCCACCACCCAGTAGCCTGGGAAATTCACACAGCCCTTGGGCACCTCTGAAAGGCGATGCTTCCCCACTTGCAAGCATAGAGTCTGGGTGAAGAAAATAAACTTTTAATGAAAGAGAGAGAAATCACATGGCATTATCTTGGGAAAATACCACAACAGAGTTCACTTACCCAAACTTTCTCCATACCCCACTTCAGATGCCCCACTTACAGCTCTGTCCAGTCAGAGCAGACCCTGACATCATCCAGATGACTCCTCTCCTTTAGCCTGAGGCTAGGCCACCTGTGTGCTACGCGACGTCTACACTGGCAGCTTCTTGCACAAGAACTCTTTTGTGGAAGAGTTCTTGTGCAAACTCTTCCACAAGAGTGTCTACACTGCCATGTGCTTTTGCAGAAGAGCATCCATGGCAGTGTAGATGCTCTCTTGCATAAGAAAGCTCTGATGGCCATTTTAACTATACGGGCTTCTTGCGCAAGAAATTCATGTTGCCTGTTTACACTGGCCTCTTCTGGAAGAGTTCTTGCACAAGAGAGATTATTCCTCATGAGGAGAGGAATAACTCTTCCAGAAGAAGCCCCGTTTTCCAACGCTGTACTGTAAATTTACTTGTGGAAGAACACTCGTGCAGTGTAGACAGCCAGCAAGTTTTTGCGGAAGAACAGCTGTTCTTGCGCAAAAAGCTGCCAGTATAGACATAGCCCTGTAGTCTGCTAGCTGCTCCCACCAGCCGGTCATTCCTGCCAGCTGCTCCACTGGCTGCAATGGGTCTGGCTCCCGGCCAAACCTGTGATTTCAACTCTTTAGCCATCACCTAGGCTGGCAAAGATTCCAGCTTCCACTGGACTAGCAAAAAGACTCCTTGTGGAGTCTGCTTTAGGTCTGTCCTTAAAGCAGAGGGCAAGGGGCAGGTTGAGCCAGTCTTACAGCTCCCCCCCCCCCCCCCCGGACACCCTCAAGCCCTTTAGCCCTTTCCCCCCTCAACTCAGTTCACTATAGGGGGGGGGGGGGGAGGCTTGTTCTTCTGAGACCTCTTACAATGATGGTGTCTCTCCTGGAAGCACTGGTGGCATTTTACAGTTCCCACATTTAGGGGTAGCATGATCTGCGACCCCTACAACTGCCCCAAATTAGTTGCAGTATGGTTAACGGTTAATCATCTTGCAGAGCTAAACAATTGGAATGAGCATCTCCATCCCCCAGGGCAGTTCTCCTTTTAGCTGGCTGATAGCAAGCAGTAGTTCAGCCCCTGCTTATACATGCTCCACTGCTTCCCGTCCATCCAGGCAGAGTGGTGCCCCAGAAATACTGGTTCCTTAGGCAACTGCCTATTCTGTGTATGCCTAAGGACAGCCTTGCTCACCAGCCCATGTCTGGGGGGTACACGGGCCTGGATCCCTCCCTCCCCCCAGGGCCAGAGGCCGCACCTGCCCTGGCCTCTCCTTTCCTCTCCTCCCCCCCAACACCTCCCAGCATTCAGCCCTGGCCTCTTATCTGTCCCCCACATCTGCAGAAGCCACACTATCCAGCTCCCTCCTCCCAGCCGGTGGGGGGGCACTCCAAGGCCTCCCCAGACCCCATGCAAAAGCTTATCAGGTAGTCAAGAAGAGTATGGCCTCCTTTCTCCTCCCTTGCTGCCTCTCAGAGGGTGGGATGCTGGGAGAAGCCAGCTGGTTCTCCCCCAGCATAGTCTCCACAGTGCTACCTGCCCCCCCTCCTGGCTGCCTCAGAATTTAGGGTTGCCAAATGGTTTAACCAAAAATACCGAACACCCCCCGCCCCCCAAAGAAAAAATTTTCCCACCAGGAAAAAAATTCTGTTGAGGAAAAAAAAAGGGGGGGGAGGGGGGGGGACCTGGAGAGTTATTTAAAAAAAAAAAAAAAGCATGGCCCCTTTAAGAAATGCTTTTGAGGATTTTTGGCCCTAACAGGCTGCTGGCAGCCATCTGCCATCTTGTCTTCCTGCTCAAGGCCAGACAGCTCCCCTGTGGAACCAGGTAAGCACTCAAGATTATCATATCCTAGTTGGCAAAAAACAGAAGATACTGGACATTTCAGGTGTCTGGTATTTTCTGAATTTTTTTTTTAAACCGGACAGGAGGGCTATGTCTAGACTGGCATGAATTTCCGCAAATGCTTTTAACAGAAAAGCTTTTCCGTTAAAAGCATTTGCAGAAAAGAGCATCTAGATTGGCATGGATGCTTTTGCGCAAAAGCATCCGTGGCCAATCTAGACGTGCTTTTGCGCAAAAAAGCTCCGATCGCCATTTTCGCGATCGGGGCTTTTTTGCACAAAACAAATCTGAGCTGTCTACACTGGCCCTTCTGCGCAAAAGCTTTTGCGCAAAAGGACTTTTGCCCAAACGAGAGCAGCACAGTATTTCCGCAAGAAGCACTGATTTCTTACATGAGATCGTCAGTGCTTTTGCGGAAATTCAAGCGGCCAGTGTAGACAGCTGGCAAGCTTTTACGGAAAAACTTGCCAGTTTAGACACAGCCGAGGTGAAAATATCAGACTGTCCGGGTCAATACTGGACACTTGTCAACCCTACCTCAGAGGAGGCTGCTGCAAAGCAGCCCCTGTCCACAGCCAGCCCTGTCTGCCACAAACAGGAGCTGTTGGACTCCGCACTATGCAGAACTGAGCATTCCCAGTTTGTGCTGGTTGCTGTGCTTCTGCATTTTAAATGTAGTAAGAGCCAGGTCCATATAGCCCAGTGTCTTCTACTCCAATGGTGACCAGTGCCAGGTGCCCCAGAGGGAGTGAACAAAACAGGGAATCATCACATGATCCCTCCCCTGTCACCCATTCCCAGCCCCTGACAACAGAGGCCAGGGCCACCATCCCTGCCCAATAGCCATTGATGGACCTAACCTCCATGAATGTATCTAGCTCAGGGTAGGCAATAAGTTATTGGCAGGGGCCTCTTCAAAAATGTGGGGCATGGGCACCTAGGAGGAAGGAGAGAGTGGGCAGGCAAAGGCATTCCACCACTCCCAGATAATCATGGTCTGGGGGTGGGGAACCTGGAAGTATCCTGGCTGTGCCCCTTCTGATGTGGCCCAGGGCCATTTCAAAAATTTCTGAAGTTTCCCCCGCCCTGGCCATGCCCTGTGAGGAGCATGTGGCACTTAGAAGCCTGGTGGTCCCAGCAGGGCGGAAGAAGACTTTGTGCACTCTCCCACCCCCAAGCCAATCAGGGTCTGAAGAGCTCACAAAGTCTCCCTGCCAGGAGAGCATGGCACTTCTAAGTGCCACATTTTCCTCACAGAGCATGGCCAGGGTGGGGAAAACTTCACACACTCCTCTGCCCCCCGATCCTGATTGGCCTGGGGGCAGGGGAGTGCACAAAGCCTACTCCAGGACTGTCAGGAGCACCTGGTGCTTCCAAGCACTGCATATTCTTGGC